CATGAAGAACAGCATAAGCCTTACACTAGGGCTGTGTAAACTTTGGGCCTCAAGCCAAAACAGATGAGTGAAACCCTTTCTCCTTTTCTCAGATTGCAATCGTACTGTTTTATGTTCACGACATGCTTAGCAATTACATTCAATGACACAAAGGATGCACCACTGACAACCTTCAAAGACGTAGATTTCCACATGCATCTGGTACAATACACTTCACTGAAAGATAGCACTTCATGTCTGAACTAAGACAAGAACATTAGACAACAAAACAACAGGAAATATGTTAATTATACATAGGTATAAAAGTATTTTCACAAGATTCTTAAAATCTTGATCACTGATGTACACTTAAAATATGTTGTGTTTACATTATTGTGTAAGGTATGACACTCCTTTATCACACATATCATCTATTTATCCACTCCAGAATATTTAAAAACATATTTTGTATCGATGCAACACATCTTCCGAGTTTAAGAAATGCCCAGGTAGGACAGTCTTGTCTATAAGACATGTAATACTTGAATTTTGTGTAATTCTAATTAATTCTATTTCTCTTAATTAAAACATCACACACATCAATTAATTTAACCTGAGGTATAAAACTGGAAAGGAAATTACGGCATAAGAAATTTAGAAGTATAATTGAACATTTTTAAGAACTTAATAGCAGACAGTTAAACAATAGTCTGAAAAATGAACAAACCTTGCTTTGTACAGATCTGAGCAAGATATCAGTAAGTAAATGATTTGAACACTTTGCTGAGCTTACACATATATTAATGATGTTCATTCTCATCATCTGTTTTTTTGAAATTTTAGAACATCTGAGTAGGTGTTTTAGTTTCATTATTACACTACTGAAACAAACTTATATGGGAAAACAAACCAATAAAATGTTTAGCAATAAAGAAACCCATGGCTACAAAAAGAAGGAAAGCAATTGCCACATCCAAACATTTTTTATAGGGGAAATTGCTATCTATGAATGATGTGTGTGTGTAAATTTATGCTCCATTCTCTCAAAGCCAAGCGTCTATGGAAATATGATTGGCACTGAAGGTCTTCTGATAGGTTGCTCTTATGTCAGCATACCCATGTTGCCTTTCAAATACCTGTTTAACAGGGAAACTCAGTCTAAAATTCCCTTGATTTGCTGCAAGTACATTTCAGTAAATAAATGAGTCAGCTACCCAGACAAATCATAACCCCCCGGTTGCGAGACACATGGACCTAGAAACCACAGTGCAGGACTAGGATAAACTATTCTTGAATAAATCATATAACCGTACATTCGGAACTATTTGACTCATCGAATATTTAGACCCAAGACAGACTTCAACAAATTCTATCCAGCTATTGAGTTATACACAGATTTGCACTTTGAATCTGATTCAAAAGAAGTCTGATTGCACAATTAGCATTACTAAAACGTGAAAATAGAGAACCCCATAGAGATGATCCTGAACCAAGTCCAAAGGTATTTGCCTCCGCCTGTGCTTACAAAATAACAAGCAGTTATGAAGTATGGACTGGTGCAAGGTTACTTCAGCGATACTTACATAACATCTTGTTGATTGAGAGGGTATAAAGAGTTAAGTTATGCGAAGGGCTTGAAAGTAAACCTCAGAATTTGGGAACTGCAAATATCCAGGAATAGAAAAAAGAAGTGCTCACTATCTCCCAGTCACAGCCAGAGTCAGCACTGTTCCATATGCTGAACAGTATTCCTCACCAAACGCCTGCTAATACTTTGTTAGCCCTCCAAAGCAATATTACATTCTACAGATGTGGCACACATTCATTGAATCCTTTCTGCCATGTGAATATAAGCCCCAGGCCAAATTCTCTGAAAAACAGGATTGACTGGTCATACCTGGAACAAAATCCCATCCATCCATTTTCTAATTGCTTAATGCAAAATACCAAGCAAAATATATATATATATTAAAAAAGGCTACGTTTTTCAGCCTTGAAAGAATAAAAGCAAAAGAAAAAATTACTTAGAATATTCTAAGGAAACACAAACCCCTGTTTCACTTAAATTAACATGATAAAGCTGGGCATCTGAAACTTTACCTCCGCACATTCAACAGAGGAGGGAGACCCAAACTACCTAGTCAAGCTTTAGCATCTGTTGCAGACTCATTTCAAAGCAAAAGATCCCTTTCCAGGCCTGATGCTGATCAGATGCCAAGAAAATAACCATCATCATACCCTACCTCCAAGACCCCCCTTATCCTGGCAGAAACCCCACCACGAGGACAGGACTATAATGAGAGAAAATTCAGACAGTAATCACTGAGAAAATATCATTCCTTCAGACAACCAAACTATAAAGGAGACAAATGCTAAAGGAATTCGGGGTTATTAAAATATTAAGACTCCAGCCTCCAATTTAAACTTGGAAGGAAAAAAAAATCAAAAACAGACAATCAAATCTTTAAGCTTTAAGATGTAGCTCTACTCTGTGGCCCGCGCTGTAGTTATGTCTTCTATGTCTGTAGTTATGCACCTCGTTAAAGAAAACAATCCAAGGGCACTGATAGGTTTTTGAAAGGAGAGCAATTGTATATGTGCCTGTTCTCTCATGCAAACTGTAAGAAATGTACTGTATTTACCATTTGAAGAGTCTAAACACTCCTGAGTAAGCAATGATTGATAGCTGAGAAATATAGATTAGAAGAGCACAGAAGGTCCAGAGTACAAGACAAAACATAAATCAGTCATCTGCGTTAGTGAGAAAAAAAAAGTTAAAATGAATCCCCTTCTTTGTTGGAAATATTTATTCCTGTGTAATTTATTCCTGACACCTTATAGCGTTTTGACAGATTCTGCTCTTCTCAGGTTCGAGACGCACTAACAGACAGCCCATCCTTCTAACTGTCATTCACCTGCCCATCAGCACAGTTCAATTCAAGTTCAATTCAATTCTGACAAGGATACTCATCACGGCGGGCTGCCGGGGTGAAGACCTGATCAAGTCTGTGCAAAAGAACCCGCAGCACGACGCGTTCGTACATCACCAGAGCTTCACCGCAGTTTCCAACTAGAAATTCATTCAGGTGCAAAAGCAATTCTCCCCAAAGTCCCCAACTGCACAACCTTGCAAATAAGCATTTTGAGGAAAATAATTTATTTTCTCCATGTATGAAAAAGGGTTTAATTCATCAAGTATTTGTATGCATGTTTTTCTGAAAAAAACTGCAATGGACAATTAAAAATAATTATAACAATCCTTGCAGCTGCAGGTAATTCAGACACAGGAAAGGACACTGTTCCTTCCCCCTGGATGGGACAGGCTGGACTGTACCTTCTCCTCAGAGGACAGAAACATGTAGGAATCGTAAGTCTTACAGAACAACATATTCCACAGGCTGACGCTACTCATGTGTTTTATGCGATACTAGAAACGAATTAGCATCTTCTATGACAAAATGAACTTTTGCATTCAACAAATGAAGGACCTTAGAGCTAAAAAGTACTGAAGTCTGCTGTAGATGTTCATCTTAAAGCAAAGCTATACTTTTCCAGGCTTAGCCTTCAGTGTGATGGAGATCAACTCCAGCTGAACAATAACCCAAGTTTCTGAAAAAAGTTGCAAAGCTTTACTTGTACACCAACACTCTATGCCAGGGGAAAGGGAAATAAAGAATGAAAAATAAGTACAGCACATAAGGTAGTGTACAAAAGATTCAGAAAAGGCTAATACAGTTTCTTACCATTGAATGAATTAAAGCTTACCTCAGAATTGTTAAAAGGATAAAAAGCACAAAGTCCTGTGGCTCACACACATAACCAGAAACCGAGACAAACTAATAATGAAACAGAGACATCACTGGATTTCAACTAGATAAATACAGAAACGTAAATATTGTATTTAAAATACAAATTATACTCAGCAAATGAAAGGTTGTTACATAAAAGTGCATAGCTCCCAAAATCAAAACCTATGGTGAAAAGCAGACCTGGAATGCTTTGTAATGTCAAACCTAAGACAACAGAGATATGTCGACTCAGGGCTCTCTCCCAAATTCCTTCTCAGCTGCTTGTTCTTTTTTCTGTTCTTTATCATAAAACACTGACAGTTATTACTGGAAAAGACCACCATGCTTCTTTTGTTATATAGGTGCACTGAGCAAAGCACAGAGTGGGTTGTGGGTGGTAGAGTCTCTTCTAAAAAGGAAACTTGTCATTTATTTCACATTGATAGCTTGATGTGGAAAGCAAGCATAATTGTTATCTGATGATTTCAGACGCACGGAAACAAACTGTATTGGCTTCAGGCCAGTTCGCTGCAGACACAAATCTCTGTCCAAAATCCACCCTCCTTACTGGCACTCATGCTTCTAAAAACTAAACAAGTCACACAGAGTGCGAGGAAGATAGAATGTGATTGCAAATCCATCTTAAGCTCTTAAAAGCATTAATCTCATATCATCACTCAAAAGAGTTATGAAAGAAATGTATAATACGTGCTGTTGTTGGTCTTCAAAATAATCAAAATCTTTTTTAAAAAAGAGCTGATGTGACATTTGGAGTCATGGAGGAATATTTTTAGTGGAGGAGAGAGCATTTTATTTCAAGCTAAACCCACTTTAAATCACAATTTAGTAAAGGGCTAGCACAAAACATTTTTATCAACGCGACCAAGAATTCATGATGAAAATCCCTGCCCTCTGACACACATCAGGGAATATTTTCTTTGGTTTGGAAACATCGGCCGGTGCTCAAAAGCTGAAAACTTCAGAAAAAGCTAAATGCAAAGCTGTGTATTCCCCCCCGTCATTGAGAGAAAACACTGGCCTGATATTTAATAACCAGGTACTGCAACTACAGTTACTCAAGTAAGATGCTTAAACATCTTCCAATCAAAGGAACTGTAAAACAGAGATCTCCTTGCAGCCCCTTTTGGAAGTTGAAGTGTCTCCTCTTCTTTACAATTCATTTTTGTTTCTGAAATTCCAGAAATTGTTTCAGGCGCCAGTTCCAACGCTTACCTCCTCTCTGTGGGACTGTGCTGGGACACGCCGCGATGTCCTTGACTGTCGGTCCTCAGTCTGGGTAGCCCCGTTCACACTCGTGGATCTCTGTTGCAATCTCAACACCTCCCCGTAATCTGCAGTGTCAAAATTAGTTTTCCACACCATGACCTAAAGAAAAGCAGGTTTACCATCTTATAAATGCAGGCTGAGTGTGTGTCTGATCATTTTTTCCCTTTAAAATGCAAAGGCAGAAATACAATCAAATAGCAACAGTCATAGTGTTACGTAGTTCTCCTTCTCCCTCTAAAAAGAAATTCCTTAAGAAAGCAAGATTAAGACTAAAGTAATTAATCTGGATTTTTCTGGGTTTGAGATAAATCACAGTAACATACAAAAACTGTAGGAAAACAGTTTTGAATTTCACAATTTAATATTTTCAGAAACAGATATAAGCAGAGAATTTTAATGTAATTTTCTGCATATACATACACATCTTTTTGTTTCATACACATTCAACTCGTTTTTCATTGCCTGTGGTGGTAATTGAATGCAAGAATCATGAGCTGTGGAAAAAAAAGTGTTCCTAATTACCAGACAGAATTATTCATGTCTCGGTGCAACTAGAGAATACAAAGACATGTTGTCCTCCTTTCAATTCATAGGACTAAAATAAACTGTGAAGAAAATTGATTTTAACACATAAAACTGATACTGATGTCAGTCTTCTTACCAACGTAAGCATCTCTATATCTTATGAAGGGAGAAATCAAAACAATTAAAAATGTAGCTACAGCTTAAAAGAGAGCTCAAAAATCTATATCACAGATTAAAACAGCCAGAGTTATAAGACGTAAGGTTTTTGGATGTTTTTGTTTGTAATATTAAATCAGAAAGGCAGAAAGGCAGAATTCCATAAAAAACAGGCGCTGGCTTCCCTTCTAAGAAAAGTAAGAGAATGCAGCTGCCAAAAATTAAGAAGCTGAAAAACATTTACAGTATCTTTCAACAAGAAAAGCAGAGTGCAAAAAGATCGGACAGGTACTCAACTCAAGCATTTGACTTGCCATCAGCCAGCCTGTGGTTCACAAAATCTATGGAACAAATTCCTTCGGCATGATTCAGTCAGGCCTGAGCTGACCCGTTAACTAAAACATAGTGTGCACTCTTTGGCCCCGGGACATAGCGTGAAGTGCTGGCTCAGACCTCTGGAATGTGGGAATTAAAGACGGTCCTGAAAGGAGAGACTTATTCTTTTTCTTACATTGCCTGGTTTATTTTTTGTTTTCACAACCACTTCTCTCAATGGGCTTAGCAAGACATCTTCTGGGCTGGAAATCACTGGGGTTTAATCGTCCGGAATATGTTGCATGTTATTACGATCTGGTGTGAAACAGCTTGATGGAGTTCTAGCCCTCCTGTCGTTCCTCATTGAGTCAAGAAACTCTTGATAATACAAAAGAAATTAAGGTTTGCTTAGGGTATATATACCACATCCAAATGGGATAATGTGCAATAAAAATAAAACTACCTTCAGTTTTGTGTTTTTACACTACTGAAGTATTTCTTACATTTGTAGAATGTCAGCATAATGGCGCAGTGGTTTGTATTGCTTCCTCATAACACTGGGGCCCAGGGTTTCAATTCCTGGGGTGCTATGTGGAATTTGTAGATTTGTATATTTGTTTGCATGGGTTTCCTCCCACAGTCCAAAGACATGCTGGAAGGTTAACTGGCTTCTGGAAAAGGTGGCCCCAGTGTGAGTGCATACCCTGCTTTGCACCCATTGCTTGCTGGGATAGGCTCGAGCGCCCCTGCAACCTTGTGCTGGACAAAGAAGTTACCAATTGGATGAATGGATGGATGGATAAAATCTAGATATCACCAGAGACATTGGCTGTTTAGAATTTGAATTGGACTATTTTATTTTTATCACATGTGCACCCGATTTGGATTGGGCAGTTCTTTTTAGATTCTGCACTCAGGCAGTATCTTCTGCATGCACACAGGAGAGGATGAGGCCTCTAGACATGCTCCTCCAATTCACCCACGTGAACTGGCATTCAATATTTGACACACCAGGTGCTGCATTGCTGCCTGACAGAGGAGGAGAGGCGCATCTCTCGCTGCAGTCACTGCAAGCTTGTAACATCTGGCAAAGTCACAGGACTCTCTTTTTTCTTTTGGGAAAGCCAAGAATGCTCTGCCCGGCCGATCCCAGCCCAACTCCAGTGCCTTGCTGCCACTTCAGGAAACCACATGTATCACACGCCAGGCTTGAACAGCTTCATATTTAAAGAGCAGACAGGCTTTGCCAGCCCTCTGCCCATGTCCCTGTTCAGACCACTTCAGTGTGGAGGGTATAAAACAAAGAGTCACCTGTTCATCTGAGCCACCTGAGGCGAAGTAATTCCCGGCCCTGGAGAAGGCCACACACGTAGCAGGGCCCTGCAAAGCAAACAGCAGACATGAAAAAGCCATACAGCACGCTACATGGTGTGTGAAGGGGGTGTGGAGAATGCATGGGCCACAGATTACTGTGTATATAAAGTAAGCCTTTTCTTTATTTCAGAAAAAAAAACAAATATTATACTACGTAATTACATTCTGAAAGTTTAATCCCCAAAGTGACGTCAAATAGCCCTATAGGCCGGTGCTAATTTAGTCATCGGTTTTTGTTACAGTCATAGTCTTGGTCAAGTTAGCTAAAACAGGCTAAACCCCTCTAGACTGGCATTCTGTGTTCTGGCCGGACTTAAGCTAGCCAGATGTCCACTAATTGTGCGTAAAGCCAAATACCTATGGTTCTAGTTTGTTTACAGCCGCCAGTCCTGACCTGTACTGTTATTTAGCTCTAATTAACCCCTATAAATGTCTTCTAAGAGCTCGATAGGCAGGGAAAGCATTGACAACGCTGCTAAGTGCAAACATGTAAATACTGAAACAGACAAAGGTGAAATTGTTGTACAAACTGGATGACTTGTTCGAGTTTTACAGTGTATGGACATCTAACGTGCATGATATGAAGAAATAAAAGCATCAGACTCTTTTTCCCCAGAAAATGAAACCTTTATATGGTGATCTTATACAATTGCTCAAGCTTCACTGGAAAACGTGCGTTGGCATTTCAGACAAGGTGATAATGGAGAGGCTCAAACTATCAAAACCACTGCTGTACAAATCAATAAGCAGAACAAGGAAATCACTCATCACTCCATAATATACTGTCCCAGAGCAGTCTAGATTATTGTATCCAATTAGATTTTTTTTAACCAATTGTGAGAACAACCAAATGCATTTATAGTTTCAAGGAACATCCAGAACTTTGAAAAGTTAATGAAGTATTTCCCAGGCTGAAAAAGATTATGAAAGTGTTCAGTAACAGATAAGTAGCCGCTTTCAATTTACTGCATGACATGCGCATGCACGACAGGCCACACTTCTTTGCAATGACGAATAACTCAGCACTGAGACAAGCTTAAAATTTCAATTGCCTAGGATATTATTGCATTTTACTTGAACTGAAAATCTATAATACTTAACACAAAAAGGATGCATTTACTGTATTGCAACTAACATAGCTGATGCTATTATGGCATCATTCTTATTTTATCATTCAGTTTTCAGCCAGTTATTAGAAATTAAAACAAGTGGCATACTTCAACTGCATTGTTCCATCCCTAAATGCTTCTGTATTTTATTACACAATTCATTTTCTTCTCACATTGTCATTTTCTATGTCCTTCTTTTCACTGAAACTCCAGGAAACAGACAGAGGAATGTGTTCAATTGATTGGGTAATTGAGCACTGATGCTATTTCTATAACCAGGTGTTGGAATATTACACTACCTCTAGCCACACAGAGAATCCGTGTTCTTTAAAATACATGAGTTGTTACTACTTTTGAACTACGACTGTCCTCTCTACAGGAGGAACAAAACACTACTTATGGGTAAAAACTAGCAAGGGTGCCCAAATACTTTTCCATGCCATCTTTGACAGAGAGACAATAACTGAAATATGAGAATGAGAAAGATACACGAACGCTAGCACATTAAATTGTTAAGCACTGAAGCGTGGTGAACATTTAGATTACACATCAAAACATTCTAAAACTGCATGCAGACAATTCCACTGAGTCTACTTGTGTGGCAGCTCAAAGCCGTATAATAAAATCAATGCTCTTTGAAGGGGACTGTGCTATTAAACAATAGAAGTGGGGAAAAAAAGCAGGTCCTCTTAAAAAAAAAAAACAGACACAAATATAAACAAAGAATCTGTATGCTGGTGTTCAGAGCAGCCAGCATGCCAAAAGACCACCAAGATCCTTCAGAAGTGGACTGGCAGTCAAAGCAGTCTCCAGATGTTATGAGTCACCCATAATGATGGGCAATATAGTCCTTCAGAGGCAATATTAGTCCACAATATAAAAAAGCATCTCAATCCACTGCCATTCACTCAAGGCACTGCTGCAGTCAATCCCAGAATTCCCTGCAGGTCTGGAGTCACCCAGAGCAAGAAACCCTGGCTCCAAACATCTTCAGTGTCTACTTTTAGAACGGCACAGCTGCAGTTGGCAAGACATGCCAACAAAGACCAGGATGCTCTATTTTCATAGTTGCTATGGTTACTTTTATACCTAATTTTGTTTGATGAGAAGCTGGATTTTGACGACATTGATCCAGCTCCTAAACCATGAAAGGTAACATATTTAGCAACAATCCAGACGTAAACTTCATTCTCCCGTACAACTCAACAGGAGGAGATGGCTTTTTCTTTTTTTTTTTTGTTAGGAAATGCATTTAGCGTCCATCAAAACCACCCATGGAACATACCCTGCGCTAGCATCAAGGCCCTCTGCTTTTAGATGCTGAAATAATAAATACCATGCCAAGATACCAGCGAAGGGCAGCCGTCTCTGAGGTTACAACCAGACGCAGCCATTTAGCGCCAGCATCCAGCAAACCACAGCCCAGCCGCGGCGACAGCTCAAAAGGCAAATGAGGCAAAGAGCAAGGGAGCCAAAAATGAAACAGGGCACAGGGAAGATGGAGCGCAGGCAAGCCAAACTTTCAATCGGATTTGGCTGTAAAACACTGGGGTTAGCACTGCTCGTCTCGTCTTAAGGGTGTCTGGAGAGTTTCAATGGTTTGCCGAGAAAACCTCAAGCACCAGCCTAGATCAGCTCTTGGGGCCAGAAGAGACGAACCTCCAAGGAAGAGCAAGGCTCCAGGCCCTTTTCAGGAACGCACAAGCTCATCCCGTACAGAATCAGAATCTGAACTCTGTGACCCACTCAGCCTCTGGCAAAACAACTTTAAATCTGCATCAGAACTTTAATCTACAGCTTGCTTTCTGATTCCAGGGATCATTTCAGGATCAACAGAAGTTTTTTTTTAACTAAATGTGAATATATTCAATTTGCTACATAATTCCATGCACCTTTTCCGAGACTGAGTGAACGACTGGTCAGAATTAGCATTCAAATGTCCTCGGATTGAACAAAAGATTCTCCTTTGGAAAGACTAAATGAAATCCATTACAAACACCAGTCAGCTGCCTTTGTTGTTCGAGCGCTACCTTGTCACGTAGATGAGCTTCTTTTTGTAAAATTCTTTTTAGATTTCATCTTTATGCTTGCATCTCTATAATCAAAACGCACGCCTTAACTCTCAGGGGGTATGGTTGGTTAGCCTTGCGGCCTCGCAGTCTGGGGCCCTGGGTTCAATTCAATTCTGCTGGATGTTATTTGTGTGGCGGTGGTATGTTCACCTCGGGGTTTCTTCTGGGTGCTCCGTCTCCTCGTACAACCGTACAAGAATCCTGGTAAGTTAATTGGCTTCTGGGAAAACGTGCCCTAGGTGTGAGTGTGTATGTCCCTGTGTTTGTGTCTGCCTGCCCTGGAATGGACTGTTGTCCGGCCCAGGGTGTACCCTGCCTCGCGACCACTTCTTGCTGGGGTGGGCTTCAGCTCATCCACGACCCTAAATTAGAAGAAGCGGTTAGAAAATGAATAAATTGGATGGATGTCTTTACTCTCTGAACATTCTACCCAAAGCAGGGTATACAATGCCTAAAAATTAAATGCAATGTTAAGAGCAGCTAATACTACTTAAAATCGGGTTTTTTTTTTCCCCCAATTCTGGGCTTTCCATTTTCTGAAGGGTCCCACAGCAATCGTGAAGAACGACCTCAGGTGTCAAAAGACGGAAAAAGGAAAGGGAGTGGGGCTGATAAACGATAAGGCTAAACCGTTCTACATCTTAGCCAAGAAGAAGCGCTTATGTATGACCGAAAGACTTCAGTTAACGCAATTTCCAGAAAACACAAAATGTTTTAATTATAACTGTGGTCTTTGGAGCTGTTCTTCAGTATGAGTCATAGTGAATCACTCCTCTGACAGTTCTAGCAGGATGAAGTTTTTTTTTTTTTAGGAGTCTGAAGCACCAACGAGTAATGCTGTGCTTTTCAACCCTAGGAAATCTGCTTCAGAAATCTGGCTGCCGAGAAAACAATGCAGATGACTGTAAAATACACCGATATGAGAGCAGATCATTCATCTGCATGACTGACGCCTCAAAGCGTTTTGCTGAATTGGAAAATATAACAAGCAGCAACTTAACATGGAATTACGCCTCATTCCTGATCACAAAGCTTATGTTGACACCGCTGTCTCCAGTCAGTCCTGGTGACCACCGAATACCTGACATATCCATCTTCACTTCAGAACGTATTTCACTGGAATTAAGTTACTGGCTGACTGAATGAAACGGGGAAGAAAAACATGATTAACAGAGGATCTGTCCATAAAGAGGAACTTGTGCATGCTGAGCGTGACAGGAGAAGAGGCACGTATAATTTGGCGAATGGTGACTGAAAGTAGTTTTTTTTTTCATGCACCTGCTGCTGGCTGCATAAGTATTATTTCCATCAAAAGGCTTGAGGCAAGCGAGTTTCACAAAGCCAGGGTAGGAGATTACAGCACTCTTTCACATATTCATGTTTCATTTTCAAGTTGCATGAGGCAGAAAAACACATTTTACTTAAGAGCAGGGCTCTCAAATTGCGGCCCTTCCAATCTACTACAACAGAATTGTGCTGAAACCAGCTCCTTAATTATTTAACTGGTAATCAACAGGATCAATTTAGAAATACTGATATGGTATCAAAATACAGCCCTGGATGTTGAGTAGTTCTACTGTAGATTCTTAGAGTTTTTTATTGGGTGAAATCATTAATCAGGTGACTGGACTTTCAGTGTTTTATTCTTTGAATCGTAAAATGATACTGTAGGACCTTTACAATATCCAGAATCAATGTAAATTCTGAAGATAAATTTGCTACACAAATACTTGTTAACAGATATTATGGTTACAGAAGATGTTGTTAACATATCCTGTACATATCTGCAAATTACAACCAGAAATGTCTGTGAAGGTTGAATGTAGAGCTGGGCGATAATTCGATAACGATAATTATCGCAATATAATTTTCCTCGATATAATTTTAACAAAAGTTCGATAAATGTTTGATATATATGTTTATGCTTTGCGCATGATATGCGCATGCGCACAAAATACTGCGCGAGTGCGCGTGCGTGTTGCAGACCAGGCAGCTAACAGATTTGTTTAATGTTTCTGCTGTTTGGCAAGTGTTTGTTGTGTTCTTAAAATAAAAAGTTGTTTAATTTAGCAATTAACTGTCTGGTTTCTTCAACTTTCACTCAGGAGAAAAAATCTTCCTTTAAACTTGAAAGAAATAATGATTTGACATTTATCGTGATAATTATCGATGTCGACTGATATAAACATTTTTATCGTGATAATGCTTTTGGCCATATCGCCCAGCCCTAGTTGAATGCACACATCTTTTCTTTCGATATGACAAACGTGTCATTCATTCACTATTACTCCAAATACAGAGCGTGGCTACAACAGCTCAGGAAGACATCACATTAAAGCAGCTTCAGAAACAGCCATGGTAATGTGCTAAAGGAAAGCCAAAGTGATCAATATGGACAAGTATGAAGACACAAGTCTTTAAAATTTCACAGCCAGTAAAAATAATTTAGGAAGAAAATGAGCAACCAATTACATGATACAAAGGCTCAGCATAAAGTTAGCACCAATCTCCTACATTCCAATAAAATAAATGTCTGAGGCCATGTAGTACTAATCTAAGAATCTTACTGACAAAAAGACAAAATTAACAATGAAGTTATTCAGATGTGAGCCAGTTGTATCAATAACCTGGGACACACTTTCTTTCTGACCTGCATGATTTTCCTCAAAAAACACACATTATTTCCCTTAGAGCATTACTTGGACAAGAGATGGAGACATAAAAGTATCATAGGATCACACGAAAGGATGAGAGAACTTTTTGTTTAAGGACCTAAGCCGGATGTACGCAACTCAGAATTTTGTATTTCAAAACTATACAGAAGTTTATGTAGGGGGCTTTAAAAAAATAATGTTTTATTCTGCACCTAACTTTTCCTAGCAAATGACTCGGAGATAGCACGCTCACAGCATAGTTGAGTCTTAGCTTGTAAAGAACAGTGACAGCCTGTCAATGACACCCATAGGGTGGGATTTGTTTTTCCAGCTTGTTTACATTGCAGGATAGCACGTAGGCCAGCTAGGCCTATGACTCTCAGTGGGCAGACAGGATATACCTTATTTTATGAATTACAGCCCTTCATCAGCAGCTGACAGACATTACAGGAAAATCTTAGGTCTTGTGTGCTAGTTGACACACCACCCATCCACCTGTAACCTCTGCAATGTAACATTTTTGTTTCATTAAAAGTTTTGCATCTCTTTTACAGCTTTCCAATGTCCAATTTTAATGAATTTTAAGGTTTTTTAAAACCTATAAAAAGATCCTTTGTCAAATAAGACTGCTTTATTCATACCGAATTTATTACTGTGCCTCAGATTGAGCCACATTTCAACCACCCAGCCAATCCTAAAAATAAACTAGTATTTAACTGCAGGTCTTCAATTGGTAGGAGGAAGAGACTCCTGGGAAGCAAGCAGCCAGCAGCATGTTAAGGGTGAAAGTTTTTATTCAACCGGGGCCTGCACATGCTGTGCACAGCTTCCTAAAAAGACACATGCTTGCTGGTAGATATCATTTGCAGGTAGAATCCGCCATCTCCATTGCGCAAACACGTAATTTTCAGATCCATACCAATCACGAACCTGACAAAGCTGTGCATGTCGGCTCACTGACAAAACATTAAGTCCGCCAAGCGGTGACTAAACCAAGAACTGAGAACAGCTGCCTCCGCCACAGCCCCCATCGTGAGTGGGAAAGGGCCTGTACCATTGTATTGAAAGGGAAGAATGTAAACTTGGCACCAGCTCCTGTAATCTAAGATCAATCAGCTGGCAGTTTGCGTTCCAGACACCTTGACCACAGATCCAATTGCGTCAAGTACAAAAGGACCCCATCCCTCGCCAGCTCACTTCCCAAAACTTTGCTTGTCAGGTGTATATACAGGAGACACCATCACTGCATTAGAGCAAAACAAACCAGATCCTAGCAACAAGTCTGAGGGACAGTCTGTTCTATTTCACAAGTGACTAATGCCCTTTCACAACCTCCCACGATACTGCCAGACAGTCTCGCTGGTGCATGAACCCAGCACAGTGTTGGAAAGAATAAGAACAGCAGCTCGTGCAGCTCACACAGCAGGGAGAACACACTTACGCACAAGACAGAAATTACAGAGGGCTCTCTGACAGTTTTTGCGCACCTGGCAGACATGTCTAGTGGAATACCGATCACACTGGCACGTCCAAAGAATCTGTAGTATTTCAAAATTTTTCAGTCTCTTAATTTTTTCATTTTAATTCCAAAGTGCTATATACAAAAAAAAAAAAAGAATCCACGCTACACAAGCAAACTCTCGGGCCCTGGGTGATGTCAACACAAAGCGCCCACAGGCACGCCTTTCTCATGTTAACTTTGACATAATATACCCAGCCCTGGTGAGAAATGCACAAGGAGGACACAGGTTTTCAAAGCCTTTCAAAGAAGGAGAATCAGGACCCAGAGGGATATGCGAACAGAGAAATGTTTAGAAGGAGTTAACTAAAACTTTATCTGATGAGGTTATGCAAGATGTTTGTGGCGTTCAAGTCACTCAAGGGGAAAGAAATATCACACATGATGCTTCACACAGCCAAACAGAAAACTAAGTGTGGTCCTCAGAGGATTTAAAAGTGCAATTATATGCACTGTTTGACTTGGTAATTAAAATAAGTGCATCCATTTCTCACATCAGGCAGGGAAAAGTTTCAGCAAACATTTGTCCTACTAAAAGTGATAAAATAAGTAGGGATTTTTTAATTGTAAGACAGGAGATGTGTCTCACAAGAGTTGCATGTGGTTTAGAAGACACCAAAGTAATGGTGTCTACATCTCAAAAAGAAACTGTCCACAAAATTCCCCACATTTCTTATAACTCCTAATTCACCTCCTAAATCTGTAAGAGCAACACCTTCAATCACCTTTGGCAACACTATACTTCAATGCAATTAAGCTTAAATACATTTTCCTTGAACATATATTGCCGATCAGCACTAGTATGGAAAATTGCTCTGAATCACAGTTTTAACAGGCTCACAGGAAAATAAGCTGTCGATGCAAACAGAATACCCAAGATGTAGTCATCTTATATGACATTTTGAATGGTGAGTCAAATTAATATTTGCAGGTGATACGATAGGAGGTAGATAATAGAATGATGTTTCTGGGCTGATAACCACAAAACACATATTTAGCTCTCCATGGCTGTGTTAGGAAACCCTCCAAAAAATACAATTGTTTCTAATTTCATGCTGCAAGTCCACAAAATACATCTGTAGAGCTTTTTGTTTCATCAGTGTGATACACTGTGTATTGCCGGAATGACTCGGTTACAATTCTAAATATTCTAAGGAATTACTGGTTTAGCTGAGAACATCCCATTACAGACTGGCACAACTCAGAACCAACAAATATTCCTTGAAGCATTAATCCATCATCGCAATAAAAAAAACAAAACCTCATCATTATCTGCAAGCACTGGACTGGATTTGGCTCATGAGCTGATATGGAGCAGTCATGTGTCACTTGTGACAAGGAAAAATAGCTTTACAGCTGTTATCACTTTGGTGGTTCTCAAGACTCCAGATTTTCTTTTGAGACTTCCTGTAAATTCTTAACATTGTGCAGCCTGACTCTCGTTGACAGGCGAAAAGCTCACCTATCATCTTACCTTAAAGCTGCAGCCATTACTGAAAAACAACACCACCCAATCTGTTCACACCACAAGCGAATCCCACACTGTTGAAGCTGTCAAACTCACTTTCTTTTTGTAGACTGCAAAAGAACTTTTCAAATAAATAGGAAAGCCTGTTTTTTATTTTTTTTTAAATATGTAATTTAACTGCTGAAGAAATATGAAACAAAAAAAGGCAGTAGTTCCCTAAATGGATGATAACTTTCAAACTGAGCAGAATTATAAGTATTTTAGGAAATACTTCCCCAATTAAAAGAGAGGCACATACCGCAGAGAGGTGTAAAGTGGTTTGAGTGGAGTGTCCAGAAAAATGCTATATATGTATATAGAATTATTATTATTAGTCACTGTTGAACTTTGACTAATCTCATCCCTTTTCCCCCACTTCTCTCAGTCACGTTTGGAAATCCCAACCACAGCTGGCTAGCAACATCACCCAGGTCTTAACTTGCAGCACACTGATCACTGAGTTCGACCTGCACCTGCAGAGAATACCATCACTGGTTAAGCCACGCAGAAGATCCCTTTTCCATGGCGTGCATAAATACTTTTAAAAAACCATTCTGGAGTAGAACATTTGTCACGGCATCATCACCAGCTTGCCTGTACTACACTACACAATAAGACCCATGGGTTTGTGTTGTGTTGCAAGTCAGAATTACCCTCCCTAACTCAAGCCCACCCACTCCTTGAAGTGCACGACCATTTGGATAGGGAGACGACCCGTCATGGATGCCTGATTATGCTGCCCAGACTCAATAGCTGAACTACAAGGCTCAACTTGTCCCTTTACTCCCTGCCACACTGGGACAGCCCTAGAACATTTTAATGTACTGAGTCATAACTCACAGAACTACAAGGCTGCATGACTTCATTTAATAGAAACAGCCCTTCAAACTTTCCACTGTACATGCATTCAAAGACAAAGGTTTTAATTGACTAGATTACATTCACTGGGATTATTTTTTTTTTCTTTCTGAAAAGAATATGCCAACTTTAATCCATGGACAACACTGTGATCTTGGGAAAAAACCTTTAAGTTTGAGATTAACGGTTGTGTATGACAATGTCGACATTTTTGCAGTACTCTTACCTGATGGCCATGAAGTGTGTACAGTAGCCTTCCTTCCAATAAATCTAGTATTTTCAGTGTGGAGTCATTGGAGGCAGTGATGAGATAGTTCCCAGAGGGATGGAATGAAAGCCCATTCACTACGGCACTGTGCACTGTAACCAGACGTAAAACACAAGCATCACATTTCAAGAATTCACTCAAGAAAGCCTTACTTCAATCACACTACACTATGTTTGTCCAGACAGCTTGTGGACTTTCTGACAGATGTTGGTCATGTCAAGTTGCAGCTAACAGACACTTACACAGATGAACGGCATGAAGATTAATTCAAAACGCCATCTTTTATTTTGAGAGACAAACCTGCCAGGCAGAGATGTGCAAACGGACAGAGACTGAGGTTTCGAAAACAACATTTGTGTCCATTATCGGTAGCGCAGTCTATAAAGACATCACTCTTTCAACAACTGCTCATTCAGCAAGCAGTCATTTCTATGCAGGCATGAGAACTGACCGAATTCGTGATGTGTATTCTTTTCTGTACAAAACACAAGTGACACGTGTAGTTCAATTGGAAAAGCCCTTTTGCCTTTTCGTACCTGGGCACATGATCATGTCCAGCTTAAGCAGTGTTTTTCGGAAGGCATGTGCTTCCCTCTACTGGACAACTATTTAAACTGCAAGTGTGTAAAAGAATGCCCTGGGGTCATTACAAAGTGTGCAAACTTGAAAAAACACACCAGACTTCCATTAATTACAGCGCAATAATATATTTCTAAAGCACGGGAAAAGCTTTTCTGAAGGCTTTTAACAAAGGAAATGAGAAAGGTTTTTAAGCCGATTATGAACTCTTTCAACAGTGCTTCAGAACTGCCTGTTCATTTTACACCTGACATATATAAGAATATATTTTTAACAGAGCTGAACTCACAGAAATTAAGACTTTTATATAAAAAGTTTCTTTGCTAAGGATGGAATCGTAAATTGACATAACTACTTGCAAAAGCTTTTTTTTTTAAATAAGCAAATATCCAAAAGTTCATAATGTTAATTTTAATGGATCTGTGCCTTGTCAGATTTTTGTTTAAATTTCCCATAAATCCATTAAAGTTCTCCATTTTACGCTTCATTCTTGAATCTAATGATGCTTTAACAAGTGCTGGACAGCGATGGTTGACACCCTGAATATCCTGACGTTTCAGACAAGTAATTGTACTCTTGAGTGGTTTCTAATCTGAAAAGAATTAAATCTAAATTGTTCCAACTTTATTGTTCTGCTTCAAAGCAATTACTGAAGGGTCCATCTAGCTTCACTTGTTTTTCTCCTTTATAATGAGCTTTAGATGGTATGTTCTGTTCACATTATTTCTCTCTTCACTTGCCCCAGGACACAGTATACTGGTGTAGCTGGTTAAAGACAAAATACCTCAGCCCCGTTATCAGATCCTCTGTCAATGAATCACAGATTTTTGTGACAAAAACTCTATCCTACTGTTACTGTGTGTCAGAGAAAATGAAGGAGCTGAAGGCTTCCAAGTCTTTTTATTTATTTTGTCCAGCTTGATTGCTTCGTAATAAGCTAAGGCAATTGCTTGAAATTTTTCTGTCATGTAACTTATAGCTTAAACAGTTTTACATCACATAATATAGACGTTTTGCCAAAACTAATCACACAGCCTGACAATTATTTGAATAAAAGTTCAGAGAAATACCAGAAGTAACCATATATTCCAGTGTCAAATCACAATTAAAAACAACCCAGAAACTCCGGGGAATTTAATATTCACTTATTACGTTACTATACATTCTTGAAACGTGTAAGATGCAGCCACATGAAGAAAATAAAATCAGTAATTTTTTAGTTGTCTTCATGCTGCTTTTATTTCCATTTCACATTACGTTCTGCCATTCTGGAGAAAAACTCTGGGCTCTTAATTATAAGGAACATGATTTGTAAACAAAATCCATGAATACATTTTGCAGATAGGTTTTGCATTTCCTGATGGCCCCTCTGGCCATATCATGATCACTCAGTGGGCTTCCTGTTTGTCCAGCAATTGGCATTTCTTGCAAATCATGCCTTGCCATCGACAGGGAGCGCTACATACGGTCATTCTTGCCTTCTGCCATAAGACTCTACAACTCCTCCACTGTGTGTCTGGGCAGGGGGAACATGGACCTGTTTTTGGACTAAACATTAATTCTTTGTTTACAGCTGGTTTTCCTGTTTACAACTATTATTTGTGCAATGTATGCTAGGGATTTGTGTAATATATTTATAATGCGCAATACATCTTTTTGTGTCCAGTAAATGCAGGTTTGTTTTGTATCTTCGGTACTGTGAGCAAGTCTGTATACTTTTGTTACACTGCACTGGGTTGACTGTGCCAGGCTGCTGTTGCACTGCAATTTCCCTCACAGGATTAATGAAGTATCTATCTAATTAACGACTCGATTCCTTGGTGACTGTTTGACTGTATGTTTCAAGTTTTGCTTTCCTATTCAATCCTCAACAAGGGGAGTGGGGGAAAGCACTTTACCTTGGTAATGCTGGAGCAGTTTACTGGTTCGGATGTCCCACACTTTGACGGTGTTATCTGTGCTGGCAGCTGCAATGCACGTGCCGCTGGGGTGGAAATCTGTGTAATTTACATAGCTATGGAAGAAGATGACACGCAACTGAGAATCCTTAATGTTATGGTAGTTCATGCAGTATGACACAAAGTGATGAACCTATAACGCCAGAGAGATGCAATAGCCCACTGTGTGTCCAGAGGATAAAGATTGTAGGATAACATTGTCGTACTTCTGCAGAAAAGAGCAGGCCGCAATAGGGATTTAACACAATGACATTGTCCAGTTTTTAAAAAGTAATAAAAGCATTTGCCAGAAAAAAAGGTAGGGCTAACCTACCTCACCAAACACCACAGCTTTGAGCTAGTCATGCTAAATGGCCCATCTGTGCTCATCAGTGGACTCATCAATTTCAGCAAAGCAAATCCAGATGATTTAAGCCATTAAAGAACTATTCATGTTAAACTCCACCCTCACGGATTAAACTGATCAGCAGCGTTAACTTACCAATTTAAGCAGATAAAAGTCACAGGAATTAAATAAGGCTGGCTTTTTCTCCAAAACTACATATGAAAAATGTATAAGCTGGTTTTCTTAAAAAAAGGACTAATAACACCCCCTAGAACTGGGAACTACAATACTTTGCAACACACACCTGTCTGCTTGTTGCCCCTCAACTACCAAATTGAAAGAACGCTGTGGCAAACCAATTGAAAAGAAATGCTTGAAGGTCTACGAATGGCAAGAAATGCTAATCCAATATTGATGTGAAAGACTAGGTCTTCAAAGGTCCCCATAAACCACTCAGAACAGCAATAATAATAAAAAACTGTGGCAATTTACACTACACACTTACCCTCCATGCTCATAAAATGAGTGGATACACTCACGGCTGGTTTTGTCCCATATTTTTATAGTTTTGTCATCACTTGCTGAGACTATCAGTCGCCCATCGGGTGAAAACCTGAAGATCAAAGGAATATAATGAGGACTGCATACTGTTCTTATCAAAGATAGGCCTCTTACATCAAAAATAATTTTTATGGTTACTCACAGCCGTGTATTAAACTTGAAGCACATGCAAAAAATTGCTTTCTCTACAGCAGCACATCACATTCATAACTACATGAAGAAATATATTCTTAATTTCTTATATGAACATTTCTAAATTTACAGTATTTCATCACAAAAACGGAAGCTGTCCTCATTAAAGATTCAACGTTCTGTATATGTAAATGAGTTTTAAAATAATGCTCAAGCTATGTGAACATCTGTCACAAATACCCCAACAGGTGTAAAAGAGGAAATGTATAAATCTGTTTCATATTCTGTACAAAATATATATATATATGTAACAGATATAAACAACCAAAACCAAGCAGTCTGAACATAAAGTGCCTTTACTTCCATGTTCATGTAAGGTGACAGACTCTAGAGAGCACAGTTAAAATGATCATTTTTCTTTAAAAAAAAGCACAGGTCCGCTGAACTGAACATTTCATAAAAGATCTATGGCCAGACCTATTCAGCTTTGATGACTATCTCTCTATCATGAAGTTCTCCTTGAGACTTTATTAAACAAAGAGAGAGGACCAATTACAAAACCTCCACTATAGATGGCCATATTACTTTCTTTCAAAGGGTAATTAGATTATGAAATTGAAGACATTTACATCTTATAGTCTGAAGATTATGAGTGTTGTATTAACTCAAGTATTCTCTTGAAGCCGTGACTCATCCTAACTAAAAATGGGTACAATTCGAAGAGTCTGAAAAGACGATGCCTGCCCTGTGTGGTGTGTTACTTCCAAGAGCAGAAATGTCTCAGATGATCTTCAGACTGTACATACTTGGCACAGCGGACCCAGTTGATGTGTTGGTTCAGAGAGAACAAGAACTTCTGCCGATGCACTGTCCAGACTTTGACAGTCTTGTCATCTGAGGCTGTAACCAAAGACTGTCCATCACTGGAGAAACTGACACTCCGCACTGTCCCTGTGTGAGCTTTGAACACTGTTGACTCTCCCTTCCTGAAAATAAAACACACACACACAAAGCTGCTAAAAAACACACAGACATATAGTTCAAATGACTCGCCTACAGGAATATTGTACTTGCCCCAGTCCAAGCTCATTAAAGTTACACCGTGCACGTTAACAGACAAAATATGTCAACTGCCATTCATGACCCTTTAATTCAGGCTGATGTTTTTTTGGGGTCAAAAAACAGTTCCCTCTCTAAAAAAATAATGAACTTGAATGTTCATTTTTGTTCACTGCTAATATAATAAAAAGATTATCACAAAACAAGTATTTATGAATTTTCCAAGTCATTCAAATTTGGTCAAATAAATGCAAGGACCAAAAGAAAAGCGAATTGATATTCAAAGAGATTTCAACAGAGTGCACAAATAATAACTTCAAATCTCTCATGGCTTCAAATCCCCACGAGCTACTAGTATAAACATAACCAGGTAAAGAAAAAGCCCTAAGGGTTTTGAGGTATACCTGCAGGAACCTACTGAATCTTACCTTCTGAGGAATAATGGTCACAGAAACATATCATTTCCTTTTGAAACACTGAGGGAAAAGGGCTTAATTCTAAGACTGGAAGCATGTTTAATTAAGCTTAATGAAGAATACTGCATCATTTCGGTTTTAACAAACCTGTAAGGTCGGTTCTTGATTTATTTCTTACAGAATGATTACTATTTTGATACATCAATGTGACCAAGAAATATCTTGTCTTTAAACTACTTTATGCTGCTCAATGACACTTCAAACAAAGGGATTAGAATGATCATGAGAGACAATTAACATGTTATTAATAACTTGCCGTTAGACCTCCCCTCCAAAAGCTGTATATGTGCTATGTTGGGAAAAGATTGGCCACTTATTTTTAAAACACAAGACAGGAATTTATCAAGAGTTTGGGGTCAGATACTTTAACAAAACTTACAACTTACAAAACCTACTTTACATAACAGTAAATAATAATTAATGAGTTTGGAATCCAACTATGATGATACCACTTTCATTAACCAAAACCAAACTTCTCTGTAACTTAAAAATACAATATAAAACACTAACCTGAAAAGCATTCAGTCCACAGCAGAACGTACAATGTGACTAGGATCCTGACTGATCCCGAGTTCAATTTTGGCCAACAAGTATGACAGTTGCTAGCATATAGCAAAGAAATGGTTACAGAAAAACTAAAAGGTGTTCTCCAAACATCCAAAAAGAGTACAATGCTTTCAAATAAAATTTGCTCTAGTCTCTTCAATTATCCACCAGCTCCCTCTGATATGATAGAAGCATTATACTGTGACACACTACCCACATACAGCTAACATCAAAAGAAACACTGAAGCAATAGCCTCCCTTCTAACAATAAAGGAAAACAAAAGAGAAATCCAAATAGAAGCGAGAAGTATGGTTCATTACCGAAAGGAATGTACTGTACTTAAATGAAAGGAATGTTCTTAAATGAACACAGGCAATCTTTCCTGAGAGATACGAATGAACAAAGTACGTGTATTTATGTGTAAATATGTGTATTTATTAAAACCAAGCTAAATACACATCTCTTTTCTTCAGCTAAATAAGATCATGTCTGCAAGAGGCAGGGAGAGCATCCATTTGTGCATTAACGGTTAATTGGCAGCGCACCTTCCAAATTCACTGGCGTTTTAGTTGCCTCGCCATCATTTCAAAACCCAAAAATTAGGTGCTCTTGTGGGCTTTTAGATGCCCAAAAGAAGCTGCTTTTCCACGACAGAACGAATGAACCAAAGTTCATATTTAAAGAGTATTCTATCAGTTCTCGCTAAAATCCGTGAGCTCTGGTATGAACAGGTACCTAGACGACAGTAAAAGGACACCAGAAGCAGAGGGAGCAGTAAAATTAGGTCAAGAACCACTCTTTATAGATACGGATGTTGCCAACATGCTTTGTTTTTTGCATGTGTCTGAGTGAGTGAAACTGTATGATACGCTTTCTTGTTTTAGTTCACTAAAAAGTACTCTGGTGCAGAGTTCACAACTATGAGGGGGATGATCGAAGGTTATCACTGTCACTCCATTTGTAAATTCAGAACACAAATGGAAATAAGTGAGGTCTTCAGGCTTTTTTCCCCACTATAACAGTTTACAGTACATCGTCTTAATGTTTTATCTATAGTGCACCATTTCTTTAGCTTACTGGATGCTGTGCACAATCACTCAATGATAAGGTTCGCAAGAACCAGAATTCCCTTATTTTTTGGGGGAGGGAAAACAAATACAATTGTATCCCCATTTATAGCACTCTACAGTGAACATCCAAATTAAATTTGCTTTGTGGCAAACACAAGAGGGTGTGTCGGGTTTCTTTTTTTAATGTTAAGAATCTTCCAGAAACCCCATGGGAAGCCATTAGACCCAGATGTAAAATCATTCCTTTCAGGCTGCACTAAGGACTGACATGGCTAAGTTCTCAAGGAATGCGTTGATCTCCTCAGAAATTAAACGGCTCTGTCTTTTTAACCTCAAGTGCTGCAGCAATATAAGATAATGATATGTCAACCAGTGGGATCCAATCTTTGCCACATTCAGTACTACTCTTTCTTATGCAATATGTTCTTTCTAGGAAATTTAGCTATCAGCTAAATTGAATTGCAACTGCTAATGTTTGCCTTCTGCGTCAAAAGACTCTCTCCACCTCCTCGTCACCGTCTCCAAACAGATTTCTCTCTATTACTATGACAACACTGTTAGTTGGCACGCATATCGAGACTTTTCTAGGTCTGGTTAAAGGACGAGGAACACTGGCAACACCAAAAAAGGGAGTCTCTTAACCTTTTGAAGAAATTCAAATAGCCCTGTTAAAGCACTTAACATTGATTGATGTCACCAAGCTCCGCAGGAACTTTGCCATTTGAAGCAATTCAATTTAATAAGACCTTTATTGCATCTGGAAGTGTTTACAGAGTACAGTTCATTTTAAAACATGAGAGACGCTGCTGGAAATTTTCAAGCCTTTTTCCAATAAGTGAGCAAAAGAAAAGGGAGCTCCATTCCATGTGGGGAAAAAGCGAAATGTCATCTCAGAACCTACCATATTACTCGCTTAATTACGTTTGTGTCTTATTAAAAAGTGCCAGGCAGACTGCGGAAAAAGAGACAGTAAAGGACCGAAAGTTTAAGGGCTGTCAGGACAGCAGAGTATAAAGCAAAACTTTGATCATAATGCTTCACTGCAGGGATAGTCAGCAAGTCAGCAAGTTTTTTTATTTACACTTATTACAGCTGTCAACTGTGGACCACTGAAATAATATCTTCATTAACAATTATTCAATAATACCCTTGCTAATATTTATTGTATAAATATTCTTTCCAACCATCCATTCTCCATTAGCATTACAGGCTTCTATCACAGCTCTGACATGAACAAATCAGACATCTGGGTGACACTGCAAAAACAGACAGCCTAAATCCTACAGAATCCTTTTTTTGTTTCCCCAAAACCATGAGTTATCCAAATTGTTAGCAAGATAAGATAAGATCACTTAATTGGCCATATACAATTTCTTGTGTTAGGAATTTGTCTTTTCGCATACCCCAGCTTGCTCTCCATGAGACACACAGACAGGGAGAGAAGCTTGGGGTCACAGCGCAGGGTCATCCAGGTGGATGCTGCACATTGGTGGTGGTGGTGGAGGGGATTCCCATTACCTGTAAAGTGCTTTGAGTGGAGTGTCCAGAAAAGCGCTATATAAGTGTAAGCAATTATTATTATTATAATCTGGCCAATCAGAATGGCTCTATGAATAGAACTGGGCACCACAGAGCAATAAATCCTGATAGACATGGGACCATGAGGAACACATTTCCTTGCAAAAAAGACAGTAGACAGCAGAGGGCGCTACTCCAGCTCACTGTGACTATCATGTGTATCAATGGCAGCCTGCTGTAGGAAAGAACACAGTAGCAGAGCTACTGTCAAACTGTTCAGCATCCACTGTGAGCACCTATGTTAATGTGTTCCCATTTGCATGTGTACCAAAGTTCCACATTCCAAGGAAATGTTTTCTAGAAATCACCATTTAAACAATCCCATATATTACTGATGCGGGCAGTTAAATAGAAAACTGCCCTAAACCTTACATAAAACGCACTGTTTTTTTCCATTCCTGAAGGTGAAAGATACACCATCATTGGCATAATACATGGCACACATGTATTACAACCAGCATATGCAGTATAACAGTATTTCAAATATTTGGGCGAAACAGAATTACATTTGACAAACTTAACTAGAAACTGAAAGATGAGATTTGGTGGCTCAATGTTGCACCACTGCCATCTAGTGGCAGAATAAACACAGCAATATACCTCCATCCACTGATGAACACAAATCCCTTTAGGCTCCCTCCTTCCTCCCCTCTCCCAGCTTTTGTTCTTCTGTGCTATTTAATCTTTGCCATCTCCCCTGTCTTTCTCACAGCCAAAATACTGTATTTTCTCTCTTCTCTTTTCAGTTTGGAATAAACCTATTACTTGTTCCTTTGCAGACAACGCATGCTGACGCAGCTCCCCACCTGAACTATAAATCCCTTTATTCCTGACAGAAGTAAGGACACAGCAAGACCAAGCAAACTGCACTCAGAAGGTGTAGCAGTCCAGACCTGAACCAAGGATCAGGGAGCTGAGAGCCTGCAGCACAAATAACCAAACCAGCAACCACATCACCCTGCAACTCACAGCTGACCACTCACTGAAGCTCAGCAGGTGTGAACCTGGCCAGTTCCGGGATGGGAGACCTCCTGGGAAGCTAAGGTTGCTGCTGGGAGAGGTGTTAGTGGGCCAGTAGGGGGAGCAAAACCTTGCAGTCTGTGTGGGTCTTAATGCCCTAGTGGAGTAACAGGGACACCATACTGTAAAAAAGACACCGTCGTTCACATGAGACATAAAACCAAGGTGCTGACTCTCTGTAGTAAAGAAAATCCCAGGCTAGAGTAAGGGTGTTACCCTGGTGTCGTGGCCAAATTTCCCCCTGGCCTTTACCAATCATGGCCTCCTGATAATCCCCATCTATGAATTGGCTGCATCACTCTGTTCTCCTCCCCACTGAGAGCTGATGTGTGGTAAGCTTTCTGGTGTACTACGGCTGCCGTCACATTCTATCCAAGTGGGGGTACACAATGGTAATGGTGGAAGAGAGTCCTCATTACCTGTCAAGCACTTTAGTGAAGTGCCAAAAAAAGAGCTATAAAGTGAGAGGATTACCAATCACACCACTCTTGAATACTATGACACTGGAGCATGCAGTTTCAATAAGTCTGTGATACAACAAAGGGTACAGCACACTGCCCAGCATTAAAGACAATCATAGGTGAAGATATGCAGCAAAATCACCATGGCAAAACAGATCAATCTAAATACCATCTACACAGAGAAAAAAAAAAGTAAAAGCATTATGGAATGTGTGGCTCAATATCTCTACTGTCAAGTTTAACTACTCCCATCCGGGAAACACCTCTGTGGCCACAAGTGTAGCAGTAATATACTCAGGAAAATGTTCATCCCCTCTGTAATCTCAATGTAAAGGAACTCCCTTATGCCCTGAAACATACCGTTGTGCTGCTGTATTCGGTACTGGAGATGTTTGTCTGTTCTTGAAAGGAGTTGAAAACTGAACCTGAAATCTGACAGCACCCTTCACTTACACACTTGGCACCCAAAGGCGAACGGTTTTGTCCCTGGATGCAGATGCTACCAGGTGTCCCGATGGAGAAAACTGCACGGACATCACCGCATCCTTGTGACCCACAAAGCGATACGCCCTCATCTGAGGCTTCATGTTCCAGATCATCAGACAGGAGTCCATGGAGCCAGTGGCTGGGGGAGAGACAGTACAGCCTCAATAAGTCTTCGGTGCATAACGGGAAAATCTTTTTCTTAGTTCGAAATCAATTTTAAAAGAACTGTACTTGCTGGATGTAGAAATAATAAGTGCAACAGTTAACCCATAGTATTCCAAAATATGGCTTACTATATATCGCAATATTTATAAATATTAACTACGTGGTGCAATATCTATCCATCTGCCTACACGTTATTTTTCAACAGTATTAAAACAAATGTTCTTCACGGGCAGAACTGAACGTTACCGATTTGCTTCATGTTGCAGTTGAAGTCAACACTGGTGATGGTGTCTCTGTGGCCTTTAAAATGCCTTTCTAATGTTGGATCCTCCTGAAAGGCAAGATTGTATTTGAAATATTATGGTCGCAAAAGCTAGAAAGTTGTTTTCATCTTGAATATAATGAGATAAACATCGGTTAGACCAAAATAAAACTCTTCTATTCTACTGCAGAATACTTTAATACAATAGCATATTAATTCATGAGTTTCGGTTGCTGATGACAATACAACTCACAACTAAGTTACTGTTGTTGTGTTACTAAATTGCCACCGTCTGTAGATACAATGATACAATGGTACTGACACTCTAATCTTCTACATAAACACTCTACAAGCAAATCCATTTTAGACGTAACCCGTTTCTTAAACACGCGTTTTTAAAAGGACGATGCACCTTACAAATTTAAGCAAAAACACACTACAAACTTTCAAATGCGAATCTGCCACTCCGACACAAACTTCATTTACTTACCAAAGCGGAAGACATTTTCCCAGTGCTCCTTAAATTAATCTTTAAAATTCCTGCTCTAGAAGACGAAATCGATGACCGATTTTAATACCATCAAGTCACAGGTACAGTCGATAACCTGTGGCTTTATCCGTTGAGAACTTCAGCTATCAAAATCACCCATACGGCTTTGGTTTAGCTACCTTGTACTTGCTAGCATAGTTTTCGAAAGACATAGATACATAACTATAGGAGAAAAACTAAACTTGTAAGTTATTTCTGCAGTTACTTTAAAAAAAAACATTAAAAATAAATCCTAATCCACCACGACTGCTGTTGCAAATCAGCTCAAAAGAGTAAATACACCAGCTACTCTTTGATTTACGTTGGTTCAGTTTACGCGCCGCACTGAGCGCCTGCGAGCAACCGCTGAACCTTAAAGGGAAAGACACGCAAACTCGCCGTTTTGGCCGACAATTATTCAACTCGACAGTCGCAGAGCTATTTAATGACAAATGCACTTTTATCATTTTTCTTTTTTTTTTTGTTGTGTATTTTTCTCGTTGTGCGAAAATCTGTTCTTGTCACAATGCAGTATAAGAGTTCGGGCGTGCACCCTGTTACTAACAATTAAAATGTGAAAATGCGGTTGTGTGCAGAACATATAAAGAAATGCCCAATAAACACAAACGATGGTTGTTAACACCGCCGGTGTGCTCACCGAGGCCAAACCAAAAGCAGGCAGGTGAAGTGCCCTTAGATGTTTTGGAGTCAAACTATTTTGCAGTTCTTTAGTGAAAACTGCTCTCTTTTATTTTTTTAAATATAAACCCATTGATTACTGTTCTATTTAATGACTGCAGGCTCCACCAGGTCGACATACGGTTACAATCTTTATAAATGAGCCGTGCAGTTCTGCAATGTGGACGCCAGATGTCGCGATAAGCATTTACCATTTCTAAAGGCACATTTCTTAAACTGGTTTGAGAATTTCCCGTCGAGTTGGTGGTAATAAAACCGTGAGATCTCGTTTTGACGGAAATGGCAGATGATAGGTAAAAGATGACGATAGGGTGCGATTCAAAACGTTCAATTGCCAAATTGTACTTTTAGGAGCAAAACGTCTAATCGAATTTTTTTAAAAAATAGAACAGATTAAAAATGCCATTGTTGGGGAAAATTCTAGTCATTCTAACAATCTACAACATAAAACGGAATGTGAGATTATTTTTTAATTAAAATCCAGGATACAAAGATCATATGGGCAAAAACATCTATATGGGGGGAAAATACGATATGTTTATACATGTTTAAACTTACGTTATGCTGCTTTGATGGGGCAATTTTGCTCCAAGGCACGCTAAGCAAGGATAATTATGTACTTCGCTGTAAGATAACTGTGTGCTTAGTAAATAAACACCAACAGATCATGCCACAGGCCACAGCGGTTTCTATAATCCATACGGCTAACTTAATAAGCATCTAGCCTGCCATCAGTGCCGCATTCCCATTTAAACACTAAGGTTGTGGACATACTACATCGGTAGTATTACCCAGGCCTAATATTATGCGTCCGCGAGCTTTTGCCTCTAAAGCTGATGCTTAACACCTCATACCTGATGTAATTTTTTTTTTCATTGAATCTTTTCCCCTAATAATACCCCTGAGAGTTTAATCATCAGTGGGGAAAGTGCCGAATGTTTAAACCAGTCCGTCAATCGTTGTGTGTTGTGCGGCAACGGCGGCTTGTTCCACATTCTTTCCATTTAGCGTGAGACTGCAGATGTCGACTTAAACGGAGCCGGAATGACACCCCTACAGTGGCTCTCCTTCCACGCAATTTTTAGTGGTGGTGGGGGAGGTACTGAACATTACAGTTCCCTGATAAATCAGGTCGGGGAAAAAGAAATACAGAAGTCTCAGGGTTTCGTAGTTTTGTAACTCATGTCATGTCATTTTACTAAGAATTGCCCCAGCACGCAGAGGCAAATCAAATGCAGATAGCATCCAGATGTCATACCGTGAGGGCACTTGGGTCAAACAGTGGAGCTCTCTGTGGCTGAGAAGCAAAGAGCCACCTGTTATCACGTGGATGACATTCTTTCTTATCAGCTACAAAGCTGCGCAAGTATTTAATCAATATTTGCTAAAGGGCAGACTGACAAGTCATTAAAAATAAATAATAGATCCATTTATCATGCTGAGGATTACTTTTTTGTGCATAAGAGTGTTATTTCCAACTCACAGTGCACAATGTTTTCCATTTTTGGAAAAAAAAACCTCCTTGATATATTAGAACAAGGCAGGTGTGTCCTTCCTCTAGTCCAGCTTTGAGCTTTGAAACTTCATATAGAACTTGTTAACAGCAAAGCAAATGATTTCTTGCAGTCACCATATAATCTTGCATTTTGAATATCCTGCTATAGTAAATTTCTGCAGAGATGTTGCAACAGCATATGCAAGAAATGTAAGCCAATGTGTAGAACAGCGCTAGAGCTGAATCTGCTCATCTCTGTCTTCTATGACCTTCAAAAGCCTCCTTGATGCCATATTTTGAAAAATATTTTCATTTATGAGCCAGTTTTTTTTTCAAAACTAGCCAGAACGTGGACGAAAAGAAAAATGTGTCTCACATTAGAAATTGTGTTAATTTTACATCCCTGCAAAACATTGATAACTTATTCCCTTAGGTTTTCTTTGTACACAATCCCTTGCCACTGGACGGAGACATGTCTGGGAGGAAAAACAGATTAATAATTGAATTAGAGGTGTTAGGCATGACAAGAGAGTATTGAAATCTTACAACGATAAATAAAAGCATATACCCAAGCACTTTATGAGAACTTGTTGATACAACAACATATAGATATAAAATTAGGTAACCCAATCAAAAAAAAAAAGAAATTTGGTACTGTATGCGTCTACAGCGACAAAATTATTATAAAGTACTTCTGCTTATCATGCAGACTGCCTAGTCTCTGACTTCGAATTTTATTTGCTAAATGTTCTAATGTAGTATTCTACGATTCTAATTACCCTCTAAAAAAGAGTGAAAAAAAATACAACAGAAGTGTGTGCTGGGACAGGTATTACCTTGGGTTAAGATTTGCAATTAAAATGTTTTCCAGCATCACGACACAGTGGACCTGAACCCTTAGGTTATTTCTAGCTTAGAGCAATTGCGTACTAACATGCACATGTTTGTTCTTTCTGACACCCAGTTCTTGGGAAAAGAAAAAACTGACATCAGCTACACGTACATGGTTATATTTCAAAATGACAGACTGATGACTAAATGTGGCATGTCATTTTCCATGCTGATCTTGGGAATGCTTTGTCAGGCAAGGACGGCTGATTTGAGAAGATTTGTAGGCATTGAAAGCAAAGGCATCAATGGGCAGATGGGTCATGATGATCTTAAAACTTCTTCCGGCCTTGGTGACTAAAGGTGTTGTTTTAAACTGTTTTTTTTCTTTCAAGGTTCTCAGAGTATGGAAGGCTACAGCCCAGTGGAAAAATATACTTAAATAACTACTTTCATTCATTATGAAGGTTTCATAATTTCATATAAAAATTATATATTTAATTAATGCATGTATAAAATCTATAAGAAAAGACTTGTGTCATTAAATTAGGTGTAGGTTTGTCAGCTTAATTATGACACATATACAGTATATCCTCAGCAAATATGGTTTGTAACTTGAATTATCTAATGACTTCATTATGCAACATGAGTCTGTTTTAAATCATTTTGGAAATGCAGAAGTAAACAATGTTTGGTGACTGTATCTAAACAGGCGCTGTTTACCAATAGGCCGTTGCCCAACCTTCGGTTCAACTGAAAACCTTGAACACCACAAAAAAGCCTTGGAATAAAACTCAGAGTGGATTGCTCTGAGGCAAGAACTCTGGAGCACATTCTATGATGAAGAGAAAAGGCCATGAAAGACTGGATATTTGTGATAAATTATCTCAGTTCTTGTGCAACACTATGTTTTCTGCGGTAGGTTAAGGGTATATCATGTAACACTGAAACAAACAGTAACTACCTGATCATTGATCTTTATAACTTTTTAAATAAAGACAAAGGTAGCATTTTAGCGTATATTTACAATGTATTGCCAGTGAATGCTTGCCTTTTTATGGTGTTAGTGTGTTTTAAAGCATCCTTTAATTACAGCTCTTGGCTGTATTGCGTGATTCCTTCACATGGAGTGAAATCCTAAACAAAGACTTCTTTTTCCTAGACATAAACAAAAAACTATCACTTCCTTCTTCCCTGAAAACATTCAGACCTGAGAATTGTGTTTCGGTAGTTTTTCTTGATCATCATGCACATTGTTTCTGTGGGTGCATTTTGCTTCAAAAAAGGCAGATCTATTTATTGTGGTTAAAATTTTACACTGAAAGGCGTCTTTCCTTAAAAATCTTATTAAAATCATATTTGTTCTTTTAAAACAAGAGAATCAAAAAAGGGTAAGTCCTTAGATGAGTACAAAATGCTACTATGAAAATGGAAAAGTACAATTGTTTAATAACCAGATTTTTCAAAATCCTTCTAAAACACACTATCCTTCTCAACCATGAAAATCACGTATTTATATGCCTCTTCTGAAGCATGACTCCTTATTTAATAGGATGAGAAATCTTGTGACAATCCCTTGAAAATATTGCCAACAGCAGATGTAGCCATGTGTATTTTTGATTAAGTTTGACATTAGTTTCTTTATTAAACCTTTTTGCTATTATATATTATTATCTGTACCACACCTAACAAATAACCTGGCAAGAATATCATTCCAGACCGATGAGACTAATAATGCATAGTCATGCTTCTAACAACAGTATTACTCCACCCTTCCATGGAAGAGCTGTGATCATCTTAACAGACACAATAATAACGAACGTGCTCTGAGGTTACATGTATTTACTTGCTTTTTGGTACATTTTTTGTAAAAACAAAAGTTCAGCTGTGAGCCATTAGAAATGCCTGTTTACGTACTGCATAATACAGTAAGAAGTTCAGTCATGTGAATTTAATCATTTTAAAATGTAGGATGTCTTTCTAAATATAAATTAGAGTTCTACAGAATCTTTGCTGCCCATGCTACTTTTCTTTGAAAAAGGAGAAAGTTCATTTACAAACAGGAACAACTGCTACCTGGAAACACTGGATGTGTTTACCTCTTGAAAGGAAACTGCTAGAAAGTGTTGGCACCGGTCCTGTGATTTAACTAAGAGTGAGACAAATGATAGCAGTGTCTTTGGCATTTTATTCTGATGAAATCACTAGAGTTCAAGGAAAGTGACCTATGTGCAGTGTGCACATGCAGCCCCTGCACCATTAAAAATGGAAACAACACCATACTATAACAATATAAGATGTGATAATATGCAGCGGAAATAAAAATAAAATGTGTCTACTGTTGTAAAAGGTTTCTCTCAAAAAAGGGATTTTTGATCTGCCCTATGAGGTGGAAATCAGATCATCTGTTACTGAGAGAAGAATGTGACTGTAGAACTTGAGTAGAACTGAGTTTTTGACAAATATTCATATATATTCATATTATACTATATATAATATAGTTTT